AGTATAAACTGCTCCCCCTACTAATTACTAGGGAAGTATTCCTTACATAGAAGTGACCCGCAAGAGGCCTTTGATTAATAATAGCTAAGACCATCAAAATATTGAAAACATTTCCTTATGTGGATGATTAACTTCTATGTAAATGGTCAGTACCATTGAAATTTTTAAAAAGTAATCACATCTTGAAACTTACTTGTGGGCAGACAGGAGTTCAACCTTTTCTCTGGAAGAGTTTTGCAACAATTCTCTCTTTAGAGACCAGTTTTGTAAAGCACAGAAAACTCTCAACTATAACTCATATTTATGACAATGGAGATCATTTGAACAACTGGACCACAGGGGAAGTGGAAGAAATGCATTGATTTATCTTCGTACAAAATGCAAATAGAGAAAGAGCAGTCCAATGAGAATTTACAGATTACTGCTTCCTTGATTCCATCATGCTCAAATATCTCTGCAAGAAAATTTCCAAAATACTGTATTGCACTCTATCTAGAAACCACTGGAAAATTGTGAGCAGTGTTAATGTATAATTTAGGCACAAGATCATATTGCATTTGGTCCTGAGAACTGTCCATATTTTATTTGTTTGTTTTTAAACCAACACCCTCTTCTCTTCACATCTTCTACACTAGCTTTAAACACATTCATGGAAAAAAGTAATTCACAGAAAGATGACCCTTCTTCAGTTTTTTTGTGCTACAATTCTGAGCAGAACAGTTATTCCAGAAGGGAAATCTCCTGCTTCAAATTCAGCTGAAAAATATCTTTGTCATTTGACTTGCACTGAAGCCTGAAAAATCTGGTCAAAAGTCAGGAGTCATCTGCTGAAATACAGCTGTCTACATCCATGCTAGATGTTTGGACTACTTTTGTATTCAATTGGCAGAAACAGTACTTCTCAGATCTGATTCTGCCGACTAAAAGTAGACTGCCACTTCAGGAAGAGATGAATTGATCCCTAGAAAAGTTCTGCTTCCTGACTATAAAGGGAGCACAGAGAGCTGAGTTTCAACAGACAAATCTCACCTCCTCCATGCCTGCTATCACACTGAACAATCATATCTGGTTTCTCTGCTAGGACCTTATCAGCCTTGCTGGAATTCCTGCTACTTTAATTGGCACAAATAAACCAGTGTGGTTACCCTAAGCTTCATGGACAGTCAAGGTAAAGAAAGGGGCACCTCTGAGAAGCGATTCAGCTCAAGTAAGAACCTGAAATCTCCCCAAAAGATGCGACTGTATCTTTGGAGATTACGGGAGGGAGCCTTATAAGCCTTCCCCTTAATAAGATGAAGCAGTGAAGTGCCTTGAATCAGACAGACAGGTTCAGGCTGTTGCTGCTGAGAAGCTGGGAGATATAGAGCAGCCTCATCCCTTATCTCCTCTCCACACCAGTGAGGCTGAAACCGATGGCACCAGAGCCCAGGATAAAAGGCAAGGTTACAGTATGGATTGCAGAGTCCTTCATAAAATATTTTGAAGGATAATAAATACAAAACCACACCAAGGAAGTTTGAAAAATCTGTATTGTGGCCTACATAGCGTCTATCCACCCACAGCTTCGCCAAGTGAGGATAAACAAGAGCTGAATGAAACTCTGCAAGTACACACTTAGTTGGCCAAATATCCAGCACAGTCTGGAGCAGGTAAGAATTAGTTCCCACTCTCTTAACATTTAAAAACACAAGTGCAGACCCTCTAAAGGGTCTGAGACTTCTTTGTTAGCAACACCTGCTCTCACCTGACCAGCTAACATAGAAGAATAACATGGCAGACCTGGATCCAGGCTCTCACTCATTCACCCTTCTTTCACTGAAAGAAGTCACCTCGTTAGCTGAGGACAGCCAGGCTTCTGCATTCAGCTTCTGCAGGAACACAGGATTTGGCAGCCTCCAGAAATCTGAGCTCTCTGTTTTTCTTCCCTTGGTTTACTTATGCCCATTTCGCCTTCCCTGCCTCCCCGCTCCCAATACACACACATTTTAACGCTAAACCCCAGGTGTTACATGGTTTCTCCATGCTTCCAGGCAAACACTACGTACCTGCCCTCAAAATTTAGCAAGTATGCCTTCTCCACAGAGGTAGTAAACCTGTAAACAGCAGGTTTAAACCACAATGCTTCATAGCAAGATGCATTTTTGTTAAGCTTAATAAAAAAACCTTCCAATCTCATGCCTTAAGAAAGTCTCACACCCACCATCTTACATAAAAATACATTCCCTACTAGACCGTGATACATTGCACACTCTTAATGGTTTCTACAGTTACAAAGGCAAAGACAATGTAATTAACAAGCAACATTCCTCCTTGTAAAATAGGAAGAAGAAAATAAACAGAATAGAAGTTGACAAAAATATATTTAAGCTCAGAAATAAAACTACTTCTTTTTTGCCTAATTTCATTATTTACTGCAATAGAAAAGACAAGACCCTGGATTATCTAGGTACAAAACATGAATTTTCAATCTATCTGATTTACAAAATACATTGCGTCTCCTTATGAGGAAAATGATATCTAATTTACTCCCTTTAGATACACATCAATACTTTATCAAGTATTTTTTTACTCTCCACTTCATTTGTTTTGTGTATACTGACATAAAAAAGAACAATCCTATGTTAAAGTTATATTATGTTTTCTGTTTCTTGTTACATAACCAGATGTGTTACAGAAAATATTATTGTGGAGTTAATAAAAAAAGGCACTTAAAAAAAATTCTAACTAAGCAAGCATCACTGCATCATAATAACATGTAAAGTGCTTCTACACCCACTACTGGCATATATTTACATTAAAATTACATGTAATCTATACCAAACTTTCTGAATGCTGAATCCTCTTTCTGTATTTAACTTCTGCTGCTGATGATGAAGAGGTAAGATTTTCCAGGTTAGTAACAGCAAAATTCCACATTGCAAAAACACTGAATGCTGTCATGCATATAAAGTAATTGACAGGGTCTGAAAATATCTGTCCCATGTCAAGATTAGTCTCAAGCAGAGAAACGGCAACACAATATAAACATGTTATTTTCTTGTAGGAGCGCCAAGCAATTAAAAACCAACAACCACATAAACCCTAAACCATATCTTTTGAGAGAAATGGTGAACTTCAGTGATCCTTTCTAATGAAACCAGAAGAACACAGTAACCACTGTGCTGGAAATATTTCCTTGCAAAAGCAGACACATCCATGGTGGTAAGGGAATTTCAGTGTGGGTGATTTGTGACATTAGGATCTTTCACATCATTTACAAAAAGGGCCACAGACTCCATACTGGAAAACACACCCATGCCATCCCTCCCTGCTTGGTGTACACCTGCCCAGGCAAAAACACCATGTTCCTGAATTCGAGCATGCACAGAGACACACACCATGATCTGAACCCACCATCTCCCACCACAGCCACTTGCAACAGCCTGAAACACTGCTCTGAATCCAACCAGTATGCTCCTGTCCTCTCTGCATTACAGCCACAAGCCCTGCAGCTCAGCTTGGTTTATCTGGGCCCATTTTGTTAAAATAAGCACAAAGGAAGGGAACCCACTGGGCTGGCTGAACAAGAAATTCAGCTGCAGAAGTCCCTCACACTTGTGTGCACAGCTGATTTTACACCACGTGGCTGCTACATTCATATTATTTTGTCAAAAAGTGCAGAACAGCTTTCACCACAAATACTTGGAGCTTGAAAATTACAGTAAAACCAACTTTAGCTGGGTGCAAAGTGCACTACAGGAGTGGCATTTGAAGCCCCAGCGTGACGCAATTGAAATCGTACCAGGGACGGGGGGCTTGCTGGAGGAAACTGGACCCATGCAAAGCCACAACATATATGTTAGGTGCCTAGAGCTCATCTGCTGCCCCGGCTAGGAGCACACCACAAACCAATTTACACAAGCTACAAATCAATGAGGCACTCTGGCTATGCCCATGCTAGTGACAAACTGCAGTGGGGAAGGCAGCCTGGACTGCTTGGCACACCTGCCATTCCCCTCGGCCACCCTCCCACCCCCTTCCCCCATCCACGAGTTCGGTGTGGCTGCGGTGGGAGCAGCCCCGCAGTTCTGCACCCAGCGATGGGAGCAGTCCGCCCCAAGTCACCCCAGTGTGGGTGAGCTGCAGGAGGCCGGCCAGGCTGACACGTCCCTGCCGTGGGCTGCCGGCCGCCAGCCGCCCGGCCACCAGCCGCCCGGCCACCTGCAGGCCTCCGCCGCCCTACCTTGCTCCTCGCCGGCCCCAAAGCAGGCCCTGGGGTCCTCGGAGGGGAGCGGGGCTCCGCCGCCCTCCAGGGCTTTGCGTTTCTTCGACATCTGGTCGGTGTTTGGGAGTTGAGTCTCTCCTCTCTCTCCCTCTCTCTCTCCGGGGAGATGAGTGTATGTAGAGAGAGAGGGAGAGAGACACAGGGAGGGAGCGAGAGAGATTGAAAGAAATCGCTGCTCAAAGAGAGGGGAAGAGACTTTGGAGTGGCTGGAAAGCAAGTAGGAGGCAGGGACTAAGTGGAGAAATCCTACAAATCACAATCCCATCAATTCAGTCCCTTGTCTAGAGGGGCTGTTGAGGTCTCCCCTTTCCTTGCTCATTCATGAGTGTGTAAGTGAAAATTACAGATAGAGGTAATAGTGCTCTGCTGCTTTTCCAAATGTTAGCAGGTGGTGCTTTTTTTCCTTTTTGGTTTTTGTTTTGTTTTTTTTTTTTTTTTGGGGTTTTAAAAATAAAGAAGTAACTAATGGACTAATAATGTTCTCTATTATTGAGCAATCAAAAACGTTTTACTTTGGGGAATAAAAATCTAATAATTTTAACTATCCATATATAAGCTGCAAATTGTTACAGAGCCTGCAGGTTCCTGCTGCTGTTTCCTGTATTGCTTATGTGCTGTCATGCAATAATAGAGCTCCTAAGTGTTCCATAAGAGTCTGGCAATGTACATATAGGGGGGGAGTGAAAGGTAAAAGCTGAATGGGGGCGGGGGCTGGGGTGTGGAGAGTACGCGAGGATTAAAAAGAAAACCAAGAGCAGAGGAGGAGGGATGAGAAGAGCCTGCAGGTGCAGGCAGGCAAAATTCCCTGCAGCGTTCATGTGCTCTGGGTGCCGGAGATCCTCGGGTCCCCGGAGGCTGCCGGCGGGCAGGGGCGGCTCGGCGGGGGCTGCGACCACCCCGCCCGGCACCTGCGGGATTAGCGCGGAGCGGGACTGCGGAGCGCCGCAACCGGCTGGCAGCAGACAGCGGTAATTCGCACCTTGCATACTCCACCGCGGAGTCAGTACCCCCTTAGCTGGTCTTTCTCGCTCCCTTTGTAACTCTTTCGGCTCTGGGAACAAGATGGGCCCCTCCCCTGGGGAGTCCCGTCCCCCGGCGCCCCCGATCTGCCCCCTTTACAGGCGGATTTCAAAGCTAGTTAGAGGGGCTGGGGGGAGGAGGGGTCGAGGACATAACTTACCCTCCAAACTATGCACAAGCTCGTCTCTGCTTTCCCCTTCAGATCAACTTTAAAGAGCAGATTCTCAGTCAGTCCGAGAGGCAAACAGGCAGGGGAGGAGAGGGGAAATTGTTTAGGAATAGCTGCTGCCGAGTGGGTGAAGTTCGGGGCACAATCCTGGCTCTTCCACGCTCCAGCAGCCCAGCATCTTCCCGGGGTCTGGAGAACAAGGTGTTCAATAAGTCTTCCTTGTTACCCGAAATTGATTGATGATGGCTTTCCCGCCGGGCTGTATTTAACAAAACGAGGCAGAGAGCTACTCTGTCGAGCAGGAAATTTTAGAGGAGCTTGCAGTATAGCTGCGGTTTTAATTTATCTGTCTCTCTCTATATATACGTACTTACACACATACACATTCTCACCTATGTATGTATATATAAATAAAAAGATACAACTCTATCAATACAGCGTTGGGTCCACAGGATCTTAGAAAAGCTCGCCTGTCGGCTGTGTGGAAGTTAAAGAGTTTTTCTTAAGCAAAAGGTGCTGATGCTTGGACACATCTCACGTCCAACAGGAGGCAATGACGTCCGTAGCTTCATTGCTATAACAGCACCAAGGCTTCAATTGCCATTCACCGAAATGATAAGGGACGCTCAGACGTAAGCAGTCTGGACCTCTAGCAAGAGGCTGAAGCGAAAATGATTTTTCCGCTCCCAAAGCAAATAATAATGCTAAAAAACACCTAAGGAAAAAGACGGGGAAACAGGGAAAGGAATCTAGGTCTTGCAGTCACACGCTTCTGCAACATGATCCTCTAGCACCAAAAAACATTTATTTTTTGCAGCTGACTAGACTTTGGGAAATTTCAATATATTATGATTATTCGGGCCGGGGGAGGGGAGGGATTTTTTTTTTTCTTAATTATTTCTGTCTCTTTTCAAGCAGGCATTGATGAAAGCTGTGTATAAGTGCCCTCCCCCCATCTTTCCAAATATATTTCGACTCGGGTACATGCTGAAGTGTTTATGGTGTATGGTTAAATCTTCTTAAGTAGCAATTTCTTGCTGTATAGGGTGCAAAGATTTGGGGTGGTTTTTTGTGTGTGTGGGTTTGTGGGGGCTTTTTGGTTTGTTTTTGGGTTTTTGTTGTTTTTTGTTTGGTTTTTTTGGGGTTGTTTTTTTTTTTTAACTGCGCACTGGAAGGCACTTAGGAATTAAAAAAACCCGATGCGAAACAGGGGACTCCTTCTCGCGCAGGGTCATATACTCGCAGTGCCGCGGCTTCGACCGCGTGTGTAGAGCGCTGCAGAGCCGCGGCGGGGGCGGGGCGCTGCCGGGCGCGGGGGCGGCCGCTTCTCGGGGCTGCTAAACCCCGCGGGGGCCCTTCCCCTTCCGCCAGGTGCTGCCCTGGGAATGACAGCGCGGGTGCGGCAGGAGCTACCCGGAGGCAGCGGGCACCGGCACCGCGCCCGGCCTCGCCGCGGGGGAGGCAGCGCCGCGCCCGCCTACGCCGGCCCACGCGTGTCCGCGCTGCGCCGCAGCCGGGCGGGGACAACAGCGGGCAGGCCCTGCCCCGCGCCCCCCCCCGCCGGAGAAGGAGCCGGGGGTGACACAGGCGGCGGCGGGGAAGGTCCTGCGGGATCGCGTTCCAGGCGGGTGCCTTCGTTACCGTACCGAGCCGTACGGGGGCTGCGGCGCCGGGTGGCTGAGGCGCCATCCGCACCCAGCTGATGGGGCCGCGGTCGTTGTGTGAGGTGGCCCCTGAGTGCTGCTGTCTGCTCTCCGCATCTCCAGTCCCACACTTTCCAGATTTTTCCTTCTGCGTCCCCTCAAGGGGCAGGGCTTGTTCGGTCTCCAGATTATTCCAAGCAGTAAGTGGCTACGTGCCCAAAAGTCGTTCTTTGCTGGAACAATTTAAATACCAGTGATGTAAAGTGGTATCGCTGCAAGCCCAGATCAGGTTCACTAGCTGCTGAAAGCACCCAGGAGGTACCAGGTTCTTTATCCTTTCAAAGTTTATTTTGGTGAGAAGCAAAAGGCAGCAAACTTGGAGTGCCAAGGAGGGAGAGGCATAAAGACTCTTGCTAGCATGGATCTTAATTTTGGTACCTGTGGTGGCCCTTGAGATACCTTCTATGACAATCGCCCACACAAAGCTCTGATGAGATTGGCTGCATGGTAAAGGGGAGATTTTCAGATCATTAGCAGGAAGTGCTTGATTTCTTACACAGTCTGGTTTAGCAAGGTATTTATTTTTGTGTATAATTTGTGGAGGTTTTGGTGACCTAGTAGCACATCCCTTCAGCGAGATACTAAAAAAAAATTGATGGAGACCAGAATTGTACGTATTTGTCAAGCTTTGGGGGAAATCCTATGCTAGTTTCTATTTAATTTCATCTTAAGTACTACATTACTAAATGGATTTTTTCCCCACCCATTCAGCGCACAGAGTTCATAATATATCTATCACAAAATAAGATGTATTATTCTGCATCTGTGTTTTAGGAAGTTCCCATCGAGATCTGCCTTTACACAGGAGTTTCCACTAAGTTGTTCACCCTGATGACACATCATATTTTCATTATAGTATCATGGAAATCCAGAATAGATCATCTCCGGGGGGGAGGATATGGAGTGAACAAGATAAATCCACAAACAATAATCTCTGAGGTTGTGTCCAGCCAAACTAAGTCTAACTAATCCCTTTGGGATTTTATTCCATCCCCTCTATTAGATGTTGCCAAAGAAAAGCTTTTGTTTCAGTCACTTCTAGCACTTCTTTAAAAAATTTCTTTGCACTACATACAAGATGAGGACCACTGCCTTTTCCACAGTTAAAAACCTTTGACACAGGGAATCATTAAGGTTGGAAAAGATCTCCAAGATCATCAAGTCCAGCCTTTGACCAAATACCACCATGCTCACTAAAACCATGTCACAAAGTGCCATATGTACAACAGGAAAGAAGGAGGAAGAAATAAAGGGAATGCAGAACCAGTTTCCATGTTCTATGCCAAGGCTGGCTTTCTACACTCACAGTCTAGAAGAGATTGGGCACTTCAAGTCATTTTGGGATAGTCTTAAAGGGAAACAAAACAAGGGGAGAGGATGTCATGTTGCTGGTTGACTGGCAAGGCCCAGAGTAGAAAAGCAAAGACTTCTGGGGTGGAGATAGTACCACTTTGAAACAATTTACCAGTTGTTTGGGGTTTCTTGGTGTGTCACCATTACTTAAATATATATATATATTTTTAATATATATAAGAATTCTAGTAGTAATCATTCCCACCTCCAGAGAAATGCTCCCTTCCTTCCCTTCTTGGCAGTCTGATTACCTATCACACAGGTAGGCCTCAAGGAAAAATGCTTAATAATGTACATGAGAGCTCTGATATTAGTTAATTTTTAACACCCTGAGAAACAATTAATTTCTATACTATTACTCAATAATTTCTATGCTACCCACTTTCAGTAACTGCAGTAAATTCATTTGGATAAAATTACATGAACTGTTTCTTGTGGTTGGCTTATATCACCAAACTGAAGTAAGTGGTATTCAGTATATAGTGCCCAAAGTCTTTTCACTAGGCGAGAAGAAGGTCCTGATCTAAAATTTTTGAAGGGAAATAGGAATCTATACATCACATTTTGTCATCCCTCCTTTTGAGTTTTCAGAATTCAGCCTTGGGACCTGGAGTTAAGTCACACAGTTGTACACAGAGATAGACTAGAAGTGTTTTCAGGTTTATTGATTTAGACTTGGGTGTTTGTCTCACATGAATCAATAATTGAAAGAGTCAGGCAAAATGCCCTCCATAAATATAACTCAGTTTGCAAACACTACTTTCTGCTTTATTTCTTTAAGCATTGCTAGCCTAGCCTCTCAGTCGTGTCCAGAAAGGACCATTCATAATGGTTTTCATTGAGTAGCCAATCTGAACACAGCATCTTGAAAGATACACTAAATTAAAACTTTGGAGGACATAGAAATAGCAATACACATTGTACAGACTCAGAAAATAACCAAATCCAATGGTCGTAAAGATCAAGGAAGATCTCATATTGCAAGTTTGCTTTTTCTTACTTTTCTTCTCACATGGCTGACTCAGTTCAGAACTGTTTGGCCCAAAAATACTTAACAAGTATAAAACAAACAACACAATGAGAGAGTAAGTTCTCTTTCATGCAGCCATACTATCACTTTTCCCAAGCAGTTTGGAATTTTTTTCTTTGTATGTATTTATGAGGTGTATTTATAACACAGCATTTCAGATATTGAAGACGTCTGTATCATTGATGCCTATTTCTTGCAAATGCCCTCTCCCCACTCAAAGTTGGTTTTTGGTATGTGTCCCTGAACTGTGAATACATGCCTGCACTTCTTGGCAGAATCCTTAGCATTTGTAGAGCATTTGGGTTTGTCTTCAAAGTGATTTGCTAGCATGAGCTAATGTATCCTTACAACACCCAGAACAGCTCATGTACTTTATTATCCTCATTCTTTAAGTTGGGAAACAGCAGCAGAGAGTGGTGAGGGAAGAGTCTGTTCTGTCATCTTTGCATTTGATTAGTGCCTTAATTCCTGGGTAGTTCCACTGCTTTCAGTGGGAATTCTTGCATAGTAAGATACTATTTGGTAGGACTGAAAATCACAGTGTTTTTCACTAAGTGATTTGAGCAAGGCCATGGAGAGAGTTTTAGTGCAGGTTTAAAACTGAAATATCTTTCTCAAACAAACACTCTTTTATTTTATCCACTTTCCCAATTTAAAAACAAAACCCAGAATTTACCACCATATCTGTCATTT